AACTCTAATTTTATAACTTACAACACACTGGGAAGTACAATAAAAATAATTTTATTACTGGACTATGAAAACATGTGGTAGTTTTTAAGATGCGATAAATTAATGATCAATGATTTTTATTGATTATTTTGTTGATTATTCGTTTGATTATTCTTAGGGCGCAAAGTTTTTTGTAATACATGAGCATCTGCCGGTTCTATTCGTTTGTAATAATGTTCTTTTGTTTCTACTATTTCAAATCCGAATTTCTTATAAAAGTCGATAGCTCCCTCGTTACTTATTTGAACATGACTGTAAATGAAAAAGTATGGAATTGGTTATTCCTTATACATTTTTGTAAAACAGTGTTTGATTAAGCAAATAATACTTACAGAAAAATTGAGTCAAAGTTTCCATCTTTGTTAACATAATTTAAAACGTGTTGTACCATTACAGTACCTATTCCTAGTCTCCTATAAGGGTACAAACATCCTAAAGTCATAATATACAAGCGCCTAGAGTTTTCGGATGTGTCTACTCTACAACATACTGCACCAACCTGAAATAAACCATTTATTTGATGATCATATTCATTCAGTCATAATGTTCATGTCGTAACTTACCACTATGTCATTGTAATATGCAAGTTTTGCTAGTTCTCCAGCTTCGAGAACGTCTTTATAAAACTTTTCATTATAGGAAACTGGAAATACCACTTGATTAAGGAGTTTTAGTTGTTTTATGTTGTGTGGTGTTACATCTCCTAACTCTATTTTTGATAACGTTACACGAACAAATAATAACAATTTGCTTGGATATTAATTTTTATCTAAGTAAGTTATCAATTAATAACTTCTATATACAACGCGGTAACGTTATGCGGCTTCGTCCTTCTTACACTAGAATTTTATTAACAGAATAGGTTAAGTTTTAGTGGACATGTTGCTCTATCTAGCTGCCAAAGAGTTGAACTAAATTCTCGGTCTTGTCATGCCATCGCCACGATATTTGGCAAGACGAGAGTACGAAAGACGAGTAGTGTGCGGAGTATCGCGAAAATATCAAATATTTCCTACTATAGTTTAATGGACCTTTATTTTATTTTAATGTGCTCTATTTAGTGTATAGCGCTAATTTTACAATGTACACGAATCCACTCCTATCCGAAATAAGAACTTCGCGGCGCGGTCCCTTTTATGTCTCAAGTATCCCATGTCTTTCGCACTACCTCGGAGATAATTACGAGGGATCGGTACATGCCTCATGCCTAGTGATGGGTACCATCGACTAAAAACTATCGATTTAGTCTATAGTAGCCAATGCTACTTTTAGTCGGCTAAATCTCTGATACTATCGACTACATCGAACCAAATTCAGGCGGCTGCTTGAATGATCGATAAACTGCAATCTATAGCGCGACGGTCCAAGTTCAGAATATAAATACCATGATCGCTGCTTTGGATTATATTTATTCAAGGATCGCGAAATAAAATTTCTGAGATGCATTTCTATTAATTTATTAATCATAATTATGCATTTCTACAATAAATTAGACTCGAAAATGCATAATGCGTGATCGATGCTTTAGATCATGATTGGTCAAGGATAGCGAAATAAAAATGCCTCTACTCTCGTTCTCTTTCTCACTGCGCAGCTATCATCCCGTTTTCTTTACTTTCCTGACCACTTGCAATGAACCCACTTTTGACTCTTATCTCGGCAAATTTCATGACAAGTCGAAAAATAGGATGTGACAATCGCCCCGATTTTCTTGAAGAACCAGACATGAGTGGGGCAGTACGTCCGTCCGATATGAAGGTCGTCGGGCGTCGTCTGCGTTAAAGAATGTATTAATACGAGGAGTATGTGCTGATGGTTGAAGTCGACTTGTCAAATAATCCAAATATTTGTAGTCCATGTTCACGATAAACATGAAAATCCCACAAGTTTTCTACAAGATTTATATCATATTATATATGTTGAGCATCTTGTAGACACTCTTCAGTTCCTTAATGGAAAAAAGGTAGTAGGTATTTTCCACCGCGTTTTCATTTGCATTACACAGGTACAGGTAAACAGCCGTCCCGCACGTGGGCCAGTACGGGTGGCCGTACATGATCGTCTCGCAATTTCTCTAATACATGATTTATGTTAATGTCTTAAACATGCTGTATCTTTCTACCATTCGGAATTGTTATTAGACGAAAATGTTACTAAAAATAGCCATTCTGAGAAGCTTCTATTCCTGAATGAGGAAATCGTAACAGGTAGATTCGGCCATCCGTAGACATTGGTTTTGGGAACTGCATGAGAAACTTAATTTACCACTTTTATATTACCAATCTTAACAACAATGATTAAGATTTACCATGAACTGAACATTGAAGATTCTGTTTTTACAATGAATACCACGAATTACGCTATTTTGTGGATATAACAATAATTGAGAAACCAATTTCAATTAAACAGTGATATTAATTAAGATATTAAATGCCAATTACTTTTATTCTTGCTTCAAATATAAAATGTGGTGTGCACTAATGAAAATAAAGTAATACTAGTGTGACAAAATTTGAAAATGATGGGTAATCTATTTCCGAAGTAATAATCTCGAAACAAGTATAAGGTTGATAATGTCAGCGTTCTACGGTTATCTATTACCTATCGTGCTGGAAAACATCGGCACCGGCATCGGTGAGTCTGAACGTCGGTACACGCCGAAGCAGTCATTCTGTGGGATTTCATGAATCTACCTTGCCGGTTTGAACCCCATTGGACCCCATTTTCGGGCCGCGCGTTTACACAGGGGCTGCCGTTCTTTAGTAATCTCCAGGGATCTCATAATTTTTCCTGCACGACTCGCTTCCCCTCTTTTTCGCTGTATTTCGATTCCCACTACTATTCTTCTCATGCGCCTTCGCTGACCATGCCTATAGCATACCCCCATCAAGTATCAGTCCCCACCATGGTCGCGTCGCCCCCACTTTCCGGCCGAGGGAAAAATTATGACATCCCTGGTAATCTCCCCTCGGTGTATGAGGNTGGTGTGCACTAATGAAAATAAAGTAATACTAGTGTGACAAAATTTGAAAATGATGGGTAATCTATTTCCGAAGTAATAATCTCGAAACAAGTATAAGGTTGATAATGTCAGCGTTCTACGGTTATCTATTACCTATCGTGCTGGAAAACATCGGCACCGGCATCGGTGAGTCTGAACGTCGGTACACGCCGAAGCAGTCATTCTGTGGGATTTCATGAATCTACCTTGCCGGTTTGAACCCCATTGGACCCCATTTTCGGGCCGCGCGTTTACACAGGGGCTGCCGTTCTTTAGTAATCTCCAGGGATCTCATAATTTTTCCTGCACGACTCGCTTCCCCTCTTTTTCGCTGTATTTCGATTCCCACTACTATTCTTCTCATGCGCCTTCGCTGACCATGCCTATAGCATACCCCCATCAAGTATCAGTCCCCACCATGGTCGCGTCGCCCCCACTTTCCGGCCGAGGGAAAAATTATGACATCCCTGGTAATCTCCCCTCGGTGTATGAGGTCAGTAGACTGAGCGCGAGAGCTCTTTGAATGATTTATCAAAGAATCTTTCCAAAGTTTCATTAAGATATTTTAATGGACTTGGCTGATAGAATTGAAAAATCAAGCTGACAGAATCCAGCGAAATTGATCATATTCGGTATCTAATTGATCGATTATCGTCTAGGATCCTTCGAGTGATCTGAAAGGGGATGATCCCGACCTTAATTATCCACTTCCAGGATTGGTCAGGGATCATCCGCATGAAATAGAAATATCTTCATCAATCAAACTTTTTTATTTAATAATCAGGCAATTTAGAGCTGCGGGTTTTAAAATTAAGTTAAGGACACTTATGAGCGTTCGTTTATTTTACGATACACGAGGAACAAATAGAGAAACAAATGTATAACGTATTTATCGAAATATATACAATATTTACAACGATTCAATCACGAACTTCCTGGTAAGGAATGAATCGTTCACGCTGTCCAAAAGTACAAAGACATTTCCTAATTTTGCTTTGTACAAAATAGAACGGAACGAAATTGCTGTATCACAGGCACGTTTACGCTGTTTAGTAAGGTCACTTGATAAATGTGATAATGATAAATATTGTCAGTTGCTCTATCCAGTTATGTATCGGTGCCGTCGGATGATGAATCCGTAATGTTGTCCCCGTTCTCTTGATGTCTCGATCTGATGTGCCTTTCAAGATCTCGTCTTCTGACCATAATTTTACCGCACAAGTCGCACCTGTAAGGCGTTTCGCCGTCGGCATGCAATCGCACGTGCTTATTCAAATTGCTTGGATCACCGAACGGTCTCAAACAATATTTACATTTAAGCGGTTTGTATCCAGTATGAGTCCTGCTTAAACAGAAACAGCGAACACTTTTGTTAATCTCTCTTGAAACCAGACATCTCTGCATTTAGAAAACGGACTTATTAAAAGAAGAAAAATTGTTGATCCACTGACCTGATATGAATTTTTAATCCGTATTTCCTGGAGTAGACTTTCCCACAGTAGATGCAGAGATGTCCCCGTTTCGTTTTACCCAGGTTGCTGACTATGGTCTCCACCTGAGCGGCATGGACGTCGGCGATGGGTGCTGGAGCGGTCGGTGGAATGGTGTACGTTCTTAAAACGGGCTCTTGGTTCGCATAAGGCTTGAACGCTGATTGTCGAATTAAATTTAAATCTTTCACTATAGGAGGATTTGACGAGTTTGATGAGATCAGCTTAGGCGTGGAGTTCGGAGATATCTGATTCGAAGATGATGGCGAGACTTGGTCGGACGAATGGGACGAATTACCGTTTGTAACGGGAACGTTGGAGTCTCTTAAAATCGGCGGCTCTGGCGATTTCCTCAATTGGAAACTGAACGTTGGTTGCGGGAACAGGCTGAAGGACAAGCTCGACCTATGTGGCGAGCCGAACTCTGTCGCTAGCGAGGTCCAAAAATGATTACTGTCCAGTCGATTACATTTCAGGGCTAGGTGAATTTTTAATGGATTCGGGTATTCGAAGAGATCGTTGCATACATGGCAGATGTAACGGTTCTGTCCTGAAACAGATAAGCGTTTCACTTATTTAAAAATAATTACGAAATATAGAAAATTGTATATACGCAATATATGTACATATAACATTAATTTACTATTTTATTTTATAGTATAAAAGTACAATCTATGTTTAGTTTATAAATAGTTAGTGTATAATTAGTTTTACGAATGTTTTCGGTTGAGATAGTTTAATTTAGCTATGGTTTATTAGAATTAAATAAAGCTTACAGAGGATGGCCTATGTTCGAGTAGGGACTATGGAGAAGAGAGTGTTGTAAATGTATGAGAGCATGAATGGAGGAAGGAATGAATAAGGATAAGAATAGAAAATGTAAACCAAGTCCTATTCCAGGCCGATAAGTCTAGAATGAATAAATATACTATACTTATTATTATTATTATTTTCAATATTAAACATGCATTACCTTGAATATTAGCTGGCGTCAAAAACGGTATATTCAGCATAGCTAGAATACTTTCGGTGAACCACATCAACAATGGTTCGCCCGGTGTTATACATCTCGTGGCTCTTAATATCACTCCCTTGTCGCTGAGTGCTAAAATAACGTTACAGCTCTGACAGTCTTTCGCGAATGAGACGATTTTTAGCCAGCAAGAGGTGTTTACGTCCCCGTCCACACAATAAAGATGGCCATTCGCATCAGCAACCTCCACCTATAATCGATCGATCAATCAAAATTCCCATTGTTCTTCTCTCTTCTAATTTCTTCGTGTATAGATGAAATTTCTTGTACATACATATTGGATGACCGACGTGCTCTTCTGCGACAGTTTGTTCACGTCGACGATCTCCGTCGCAGAATCTTTCCGGAGGATCCCAGCGGCTCTGACTATCGGCCTGTCCAGGCATCCTGGAGCCAAAGTCGTTCTCTCGAAGGCCTCGATTCCTCTCATCAGAGTGGTCTCCGTGATTAGTGGATACATAATTGCGTTTCCCGAATCCATCCTTGAACACTGTTTACAAATATCCTCTTCGCGTTCTCTACTTGGAGAACCACAAGAACTTCCCGCGCTTACTTTTAAATAAACAGACACTAACCGATTGAGCTGAACGCGCGTACAAATGACGATTCTATGATAGACACTAATGTTCGTAAACCTGCCTCGATGTCTAGGTGTCAACTGAATGCAACCTGTATTCCGCACGTGGCTATATATATTACGGCTCATGCCCCGAATTGACTCTCCGGGGGTTAGTTAGCTCCCCTCCATCGTTGCACCCTGTCCGGGCACAATGTAATTGTATTTAAAGAGCCCCTTCTAAGGGTAATTCGGATCCCGAACTTACAACCTTCGAATTCTGATTCGTTACCAATCGTGCAGGGGCGGGCTGTGATTACGAGGGAGGGGTTTTTCGGTGTTGGAGTGCAAGGTGTATAGCAAATGAACATTCAAATTCAGCTTATAAACTAACTTTATTACATTGAAAAAGGACAGTAAAATGAATAAAAGTTGTATTTCGTTTTACTCAGAGTTTATTATTAAAATTAATTTATTTCTTAAATTAATTTCACACATTATAATTGTATGATCGATGAATCGGCTCATTAGACTGTTCTTATTTTTAAAATTTGACAAGAAATCAATAATGCTAAAAATGAATTCATAGACTAAATTAGAAACTAAATAATTCCTATGGAAATTGAAAAGCAGTAGATATAAGCATTCGATGGAAAATTCCTTTAAGTGCGGAAGGATTATAAAATATTACAGGAACTCGGAATGTTTGGGTGGGAAGATTACTTGCAATTAACCTGTGCTCAGCCATCCGTACGATTTTCATTTTGGGATGTCGATGGGTCAGTAGGTATTTATCGCGGAGTTTCTATGGTTAAAAATCAGTCGTACGGAACGTCATACCGGGGTAATTGTTTTACAACCCTAATCCATATCGAGGGGCCAGGGTTCGAGAGATCGTTTTCACTAAGAATAATAAAGTGCGTCTTATCACCCAAGGTGCTGCATTCACAGGTACGGCAGGAAACTCGCGGATGCGTGACGGAGGGACCCTCAATTGTAAAAGCTAGTCAACTGAAACCTTTGGTCATGAAATTCGCGCCTGGCGTCGGATTGTTTCGTCCATTGAATAGTTTTCAGGACGAATACGTTCTCCGTGCATCGATACCGAACAAGTTACAACAACAACTACGGTTAATCCTTCATTTCTCACAAAGATCTGGTATCATTCCGAAAATCTTTAAGATCAGCTCCTCTTACTTTTACAATCCCACTATTTAAATATGTGAATCCATTTGAAAGGTGTTTTTAGTTTCGTAAATCATTTTTCTACCTCGTTTAGAAGATTTGCGAAAATTCTTGATACTTTTCACGGACATGATCAGATGAGACCGCAGCGAGCACGGACACGCACAGGTCACACAGCCGTCACCAGGAGATGGGCCACGGTTGGGTGTTTGATGGGGCTATAAAAGCCTCATGTGAAAGGACATTGTTTGGCTCAGCTGCGAACCAACGCCGGCTCCACTGCCAAGTACCGGGGGATGCTGCCGAAAGGTGCATCTGAATCAACGGTTGATTAGGAAATTAAGTGGCTCATTCTTCTCGCACGCGTGCGTAGATCGCTATCGAATGATCGCACTCGGATTTACCTAATCGTTCATCGATCTCCGTGTTCCCGGCGATCTTGATTCACGATCTCGATGAATTATTATCACCCCATTTCTCCTTTATCTATTCGTGAGCCCACCCAAAGATTTATCATTTATATAATACATACATATAATTTATCAGAAAACTAAGGCCACGGAGATAATAATACGAACTTATTTCATTTTCTGCTACGTGACTCCTCGCACGACTACAATTTTTGGACACAGTAGTTGTAAGCGTTGTAACTATAGCTTCCTTTTAAGCTAGACTTCGAGGGAATCGTTCGAGTATGATTTAAGAGCCTGACGCTAATCTTTACAGTTGCGCGAATACAGGTACCTCTGGCACTAATTGCTAGTATTGTTCGGTTACTTGCGTTGATCACTATCTAAGGAAACTTTAAGCTCTAACTTACTCATTATGGTCGGTCTCAGTGAAGATCGAACTGGCGATAAATCTGTTGTATTAGTTTTCGACTCCGTCGAATGTATAACCGAGAAGACTGATGATCAATAATTTAATTGTTTCAGCCAGTTCGATGAATCTGGTAAGAAGGAGCGGTGGTCGATGTAATTGAAAAAGGAAAACCAGGAGATGGGGATGGTTCCTTCTTGGTAGATCTTCTCTATGGGTGAAGTGATTCATACATGGTGAATGGTACCGGACCAGGGAATGACACGAGTGTTCACAAGCTGCACCATCCCTTGCACCAACCCCTCTCCTGGTCGAAACTCGAGCGCGGGGTGTCCCACCACGTGTACCAAACTAAGCTGCGGCAAGTGTTCCACCCCTTGCATGTTAAATAAATACTGTCGATATAAGACAATTTTCTGAATCACAATAAACACAATTTGTTAAATAAATAGTTTCATTTATTATAAATGATAAAAATTTAATTATCATTTCAAGATTTTCTATGATAATTTTTTTGGACATACATTAAGCTTGAATCGAATGTGAAATAAAAAAATGCAGACATCGATAATTTTCCCTTATCTTACTTATTGTTAGTTCGGATAAAATTTCGCATCCCGCATCTCGGGAAAGTTTAGGGTTCCACCCTCTGTCTCTCTCTAAAATCAGGGTGCATTGAAAGAACCGCGAGCCAGCCATCGAGCAAGTGTTCCTCCGTGACCAATGGGCCCCTGCACGCATGTGCGCGCTTCCCAATGCGATATTAATATCGCGATTATCATCTACGTATTATCGTCCATCCCTCCTGCGATGTTCAAAATAAGCCGCAACAAAACATCAAGAATAATATTTTTACTCGCAAACGAATGGAATTATTCGTTTGCAAAGTGAACCACTATTTTACTTTAATATTTCGAAATTAATCGCATCTCTTTCGCATTGACAAATGAATTGATGGACGGAATGTTTCGAACCACTATTATTATTTGAAATTTTCCTTGACGTAATGCTCGAGCATTCAACTAGATTTTAATGCTTGATACGAGAGATGAGCTTCCGGCTGTGGACTCGGGCGAACATCGAAAACGCGTACGTGAAACCCCTCGATACGCAGAGATGTAACAAATCTCATTGTTCAACGCCCTTTTACGAGATTCTATACAACGTAACCGCGCGAGTTATGATTGGCTTTGCGGGGAGGTGACCATAAAGGTGATTCGTCTCGGTTCTGCAAGTGTCAAAAGTGTATCCCTAATAGCCCTCCCAACGAGATCCAGCCTTATGTATTATGCATTAATATTCACCGAGAATCATCGCAGATACCGCTCGATTATTATTAGTAACCGATTACGGCGACTCATTCTTTTACAATTAATTTTTAATCACTGTCTCGTAATTAATAAAGTAAAATTTCGATGTGCAGAAAGTAAGAAAAATCCAGTTACTAAGTTCGCATGTGCAAAGGCATGTAGCGATGCGTTGCGGTGAAAATTTTGTAGCTTCGGACACGTGCCGTCGACATATTGCTCGTGTCTCTCGATCCCGAGCACCCTGTAACGCGACACGTGCCAGCCCCGAGGTGCACCCCATGCTCGGGTTCCTGTTTAACCATTAGCGATTGTTTACTTGATTTTAAGAGTCAATTCATTTGAGCTACCGTCAAACAAACACATGAAATTCGTGCACGATAAGACAGATTCATTCACTACTTCATTTAGGAGAATATTTTTAAATTAATTATGGATCGTGGAAAGAGAGATGATTTCGTATTGAATCTATCTTGTGAGGATGTTAGAAAAAATTGCATAGAAGTGCAGGTGACACGGGTCACATGAAGTAACCCCCAGCGATGAGGCCCACCACCCCTCGAATCTCCCTAAAACACGATTCACTTGGCACACAAGTTTTGCGCATATAATGCGCGGTATCGAGACGAGAGACCAAACCCCGACCCGTTTAATTTAATCCAATACAATATGGCCCCCCTCACCTTGTCTGTTCTGCAAGGGGTGCACGGCTCGAGAGGGTGGGTGGCTTTTTAAAACTGTGCCGATCTCAATTCACCGTGAAACCTCATCCTATTATAATGAACCTAATCCTGATTGGGCTGGACAGGTTTTTTACTATCGCGGTGTACCAAACGAGTCTTATGTAATTTCAAGAGACGAGCAGAGATAATATATTTTTCTATTTTCACTTTTTTTTTTTCATCATATATGTACGAAACCGAGTAACGAAACGAAAGAGTCAGCCCTGTGTAACTGTATATTTTTATTGTTGTAATATTTACTTGAGAAGGGATTCAAACTCTGTAGTTTACTATTGTTGTGCTCGTGATTATTCTTGTGCAGCAGCTCGTGACGGGTTATAGGGTAATAAATACCCTTGACTCCTCCGAAACACAGGTATGCACGGATTTAACGTTTAATAGCTTGGAAGTTTTAGCTGCGAGGTAGGGGTACTGAAAGCGTCAGGTCATAAATGGTTTGCCGTACTGTTTGCCGAGCCTCTCTATCTTCACTAATTACTTTTGAAGCACTTGAACCTGGATGGTTATGGATACTCTTTCTAATCGTTCGGGAAAGGAATAGATCTGTGAATACGAGTTACAGATTTAACCTTGTACTCTAAAATAACAGACGGGACGGTTTTAGATCTGAATGATTGTCTCCTCAGCTGCGTTCTCGCGTGAACAAAATAAAGTAAGATCGCCGTAAATATAACAATCAGGATAATAAAAGGGAGAGAATGGAAGTAAATTGAAACATTCAGTTTATTTTCGTTTACTTCTCAAGTATCTTTCGTGAAGACTATTATTGCGAATCTTTCACGAATATTAAAAAATTCTGAATTTCGACCTCCTCCACTTGATCGGTCGTTCGTGTCAGCCCTCGACTCGGAATCTGCAAAGAATGATTAAAAACGAAATTACTGTTTCGCATCCGAGAAAGTTGAACGTGCGCGCTGGAGGAATCGATAATTAATTTCGGATGGGAGTCGGTTGTTTGCCGTGGGGATCGACGGCGGTGACCTGTCACAGGGCGCAACCGGAGGAGATGGATTTGTTTCGCAGCTGTGTACACTGCTTAATGTAGAAACCACTGGGATACGGGGTAGGTTGCCGTGCTGGTGAAGGTGTCCCTAAATCCGAAAGCTAACTATGATATGCTCGTTTCTCCGCTCGGCAGAGATCAACGAGCGTTAAAGTCTCGGTAAACGAAACGAGAAAAATTGTTCGATGATAGTTTCGTTAAATCTGTTTGCGCGAGATCGTTTTAACTCGTACCTCGCTAGTCTGGTCGATCCGCTAAACTGGGTCCGCGTTCTCGACAACAGGTGGTTCGTAATTCACGAAATTCGGGTCGATGCCACCGTCCTCAACGTGATCCATCGATTTCCTTCTCCTAGACGCATCGTATTCCTCGCCGAGTCGCTTGTACGTCTCCGCGCGATTCTCCAGGATTTCCCTGATGATTTCTGAAAATAATAAAAATGCCACAGATATTGGAAATGTTGTCTTTGAAATAGAATAATTGAGGTCGAACCATTGCGGCATTTTGGCACTATGCCACAGTCAGAATTTTACCTGAACCTTACGGTAGTCCCGTTCGATTCAGGTGGTTTAAGGCATACCTCTTAAAAACTTTTTTCTTATCTTATACTAGCTGTACGCTTGGAATGCTGTCGTCAATGAGTACGGTACGACGACGTTTTTTATGATGTTATAGATCCCTTGTAAATAACGAACTCGGACTAGAGTGCTACGTGATGCAATCCGTACACTAATATTACGTTCTAACAATGAATTTTGCATCGGTGATTTTTCAAAAATGAACTTAAAATAAATAACATTTACCCATGAGTAATTCTCTGCTTTCGATCATGTTTCCCATCTCCCTTTTAACTTCCTTCATCAGCCAAGGCATGAAACCTTCTTCGACATCTGCGAGAATAAATATAGACGCTTCTTAACGAGCTACAATAGTGAGAACGCGTGGAAAAATAAATTAGAATAAGAGGAAGGGTATTCGCTTCGTAATTAAAGGGTATAAATAAAGAAAAATTAATAAACCTTTCTGACTAACTAATTCACAAAAAGTAGCAGTGTTCTTGCGTGTTCACGAACCGGCCTTGATCTCGTCCAACAGGAAACCGGACAATTTCAATCCTTCCAGAACCGCTGGAAGAAGTTCAGCTATGTATCCGGTCAAAAGCGTAGCCGCCGCTACTCGTTCTTCCGTCTCTCTCTGAGCTCTCGTCGCCTCCTCGTGTTGTTTCAATCGTTGATCCTGTTCCACATTATTTCAAATTTATACCATAATTCTATTACGATAGACTGCGAATTTTTTATGTGTAAAATCATTCGTTCACGCCATCAGTTCGTTGAACGTGATTTTTCTCATCGCGTGACGATTGCAACATGCGGTCGGCGGATTTTCGATTATATTTTCTGAATATTCAACATTTCTATAAATGCATTAAATCCGCGGTAATAGTGATCAATATCCTGAACTCTGATTAAACGCTGACCTTCTCTTCTCTTATTCTCCTCTCTTGCTCTTCTAACCGTCTTTCCTCGGCTTTCTCCGCGGCGCGCAGCTCCAAGAACTTCCTCTGCTGTTCCTTCAAAGCAGCGATCTCTTCTTCTTCGAGAACCTCTATCAATCCTTGTTCTATCGTCTTTCCAACCAGAACTTCGAGTATCGGTTGCACTTCGTAGTCGAAATCGAACAACTAGAGGCATAAATTGACATTTTAAACCGAATGCCAAGGAAATTGTATGTCTTGCACTTACGTCACCGGGTTCGATTTGCGTGCAGCGATCCTCGCCAACTTTTTCCGGGCAAGCGGCCGGCGTTGGTGGCCTGTCCAAGAAGTAGTCAGTCTGCGTCGCCACTTCCACCTCATCCGGTTTCTCAAACAACTATCAAACATAATTAATATGTTAGAGCAGTGTTTGAAATAAGAGCTCGATGAAAATGTCACCTCTTCAAGGTAGACTTCCGTTTGCACTGGCTCGTGTTTGCGGCCGGGAACAGGCGGCGGGGAACCAACTCTGGCGACCAGAGCTTTCGTAGCTTGCGCCTGTGCTCGTTTCCTCGCTAAATTCCTTCTCCTTGCTTCCGCCTGCCTCGCAGCTATCGATTGTTCCCCATCGATCTGCAACGAATGAGCAATCACTTTTCCACGATCGATTGAACAGTCTGTGCTATTTGTTACTTACAAGAATTGGCGGTGTGGCGTACGTGCTTCCACGAACGACGCGTCGGTCATACATAAGATTCCCAAAAGGAACCGCATGATCGCTGTAACAATTATTGGAAACGTACTTATAAACTTTTTGCGAATGCATAAAATCCAATCTACTCGTAATTATCCACTTCGCGATTGATTGAAAAACTTCTATTTTATTAATTGTACATTTTTTTTTATTAAGACCGAAGATTTCGGGCAGGCGATCAATCAGTTTCGCCTTTTAAACGTATCTCCGTGTCGTTACGTGAACGGTGTTCTTTAAACCGTACACGCACGTACGCATAATACTACGAGCGGCGATGCTAGTACACGCGATGACCATTAGTAAACCCTTTCGTGCACGCAGTCGAATGATTTACGACGTTTCAACTCCTACCTAACACGATACTCTAAAATAATCCTTTATAGATATTCGTCATAGGATTCCCCGAAGTCTGAGGACTTACACCGAGTCATTTCTCTTGGCGATGTTGGCTTTATCGTCCAAGGTCGAGGCAGCCATGGCCGTCGCGTTCATCATTCCGAGGGTGAAGTCAACGGTGGCCTTGAGGGCTGCCGTGCACCGAGAACTGTGGCTGTTGTGACGTACTTCCGGTTTCTTGGCGAGCGCCGCGACCGATTTGAACTTCGAACGCAAAGGACAAACGTCGGGCTCGTCGTTCTCGTTGGCGTTCGCGATCCCAAGAAGCGCGGCCACTTCCGGCGGCGGCATTAAGAATTCACCGCTCTTCACGGTCGTAATAAACGGCTTCTTACGACACGTTTGATTTCTCTTCGCGCTCCTACGCTCTTCCCTGTCCTTCTCTTCGTCCTGCAGCTTCTTTAGCTTCGCGTTTAGAACCTCGTTGAAGTCCTCCGTGGACAAGGTCATGCTCGGCTTGATCGCTGGCACCCTGTCCACGGATTTCAAGCTATCTTGGCTTCTGCTCCTAGCATCTCTCTTCAACGGGTTCACCTGATTCGATTGCAAATTCGCTTGGACCAGGTGATCGTTCGATCTGCTCAGCCGTTTACGACTCAGCAAGTCGTTCTTCGCGTTTTCGAAATTAGTCATTTCTTCCGGTTCCTCGTTGTTACCGTTCACGTGAAGAAGCGGAAGATTAGTATTCAGTCCATCCTTCTGCAGGATCGTGAAAGCCGTCGGAGCCTTTCGATCGAGAGCGAAAAGATCTCCGTTGGCCGTCGGTGCCAACGCGGAAATTCCCGTCGGCATCTCTGCTATTCGCCGATCTCCGTTACGAAATTCTCATTTTGGCACGACGGCAGACGTTCGTTAATGCTTCTACATTTGATTTGTAAATCGGAGCGTTGTAAAGCAGCTTGCACGATGGTCGCGGTATTACTAAGCGTGCTCGCGAGTTCATAGACTGGACAATGTCCTTAGAATCGACCGACATACGCCGCCGCACGAACGTACGTATATTTTTACCCGACGTCCACTCAATAACGTTGACCATCGCGAACTTTGCGCATGCCTAAGTTATACCAAAGGGGCTTGAAATCGCGTGGTAACTATGACCACCTAAGTACGTCCACCGGTGTTAGCTGACCAGAACTCATGCCCTCAACCTCGGCCTCTCCGTGAACTTCCTCAAGGTGAACCGTTCCTACCGTTCGCTAGACTATTTACTCATCGTATGCCAGATTGGTATCTCACCTGATTCTATTAAACCCATTCCTGAATTCTTTTATCAATGAAACGGGACTGTTTAAGTTAACAGTTATAGAAACTTGATATTAGGAAAATGTTATATTGAACGTATGCCATATGAAAAGGCCGCGACATTTCTTTTATGGATTAGCACACTGCGGTATTATCCTTGAAACAGCACCCTCAGTGCTTGCGTGAAGCATGAGAAATTAGTCGCATGTTCTTGTATCGTCACTTATCTAAATCAGTGACTGTTTCTTGATAAAAGAAATTTGCACGTGATGCAAGTACAGGGTAATATCGAGATAGGTGGTCTTCTTAAGGGAAAAGTTCTTCTCCGTCGTAAATCAGATCCTAAACTTGTAGTTCTAGTCTCAGCTTTTTTGTTCGATGCTTGAAATTGATTAGAGGAAAGTAAGAGAAAATAGCTGTCTATAATAACAGGCAATATAGCATATCAGTTCGTTCTATCAAAGTGCAAAGACTTCTTACTAAGGTACTAAGTTCGTACACGGTCAATAACATTTTCTTATTACAATTTGATGCATTTATTAAATAATAATAATATCTGCAGAATATTATAAAGAGTGCTTGCCATGTATAA